GACACAGGGACAGAGGGACAGGGACACAGGGACAGGGACAGGGACACAGGGACAGGGACAGAGGGACAGGGACAGGGACAGAGGGACACAGGGACACAGGGACAGAGGGACAGGGACACAAGGACCCGTGGGAATGTTCCCGTGGGGACCGGGGGATGTCCCCTCAGGGACCGAGGGATGTCCCCGTGGGGAGGGACCGGCAGGGACTGGGGGATGTCCCCGTGGGGACCGGGAATGTCCCCTCAGGGACCGGGGGATGTCCCCTCAGGGACCGGGGGATGTCCCTTCAGGGACCGAGGGATGTCCCCGTGGGGACCGGAGATGTCCCCATGGGGACCGGGGATGTCCCCTCAGGGACCCGGGATGTCCCCGTGGGGACCGGGAATGTCCCCGTGGGGACCGAGGGATGTCCCCTCAGGGACCGGGGATGTCCCCGTGGGGACCGGAGATGTCCCCTCAGGGACCGGAGATGTCCCCGTGGGGAGGGGACACTCCCCCAGCCCCTCACCGGACCCCTCGCGCTCCCGCGGGCTCCCGGAGCCCGGTGGGGACACACGGTGACACCGTTACCGGCTGTCACAGCCGCCCGCCGCCGTTAGCGCCGCACCGCGGGGACACAACCGCCGCTGCCACCGGGGACAGCCCCCGGGTGACACACCGGTGACACACCGGTGTCACCTCCTCGGTGTCACCTCCTCGGTGACAGCGCTCCGTGGCCATGCTGCGGTGTCACGCTGTCGCCGCTCGCATTCCCGGGGCCACCGGCTCCGGTGGCGGTGTCCTGCTGTCCGTCTCCTTCCGAGGTACCGCGGGGCCGGTGACACCGCCGGGGCTGTCGCGGCGACACCGCCAGCCCTCCGCTGTCACCCCGCTGTCCCCAAGCTGAGGTGGCACCGCCGCTCTTGTGCCACGCAGGTGTCCCCAGGAGGACGCGGGTGGTGCCCGAGGAGCGCAGCCCCACCTGGAACGAGGTGAGGTGGCCCCGGGGTGACCCGTGGTGGCACGGGGACATCGGTTTGTCCCCGTCTGACCGGTGTCACCCGGTCCCCAGGAGCTGGTGTGGCCGCTGGACACGCGTCCCCTCAGTGCCACCGACGCTCTGGAGCTGCGACTGCGGCGCTGGGACTGTCCCCTGCCCCAGGGGTGAGTGACACCCCCGCGAGGACACCCCGGGGTCACCCCCCTGCCCACGGCCACCCTCAGCGTGTCCCCCTCTGCCACAGCGACCTGGGTGCCACCACGGTGTCACTGGATGAGTTGGTGGCCAAGCCCAGCGTGCCGGTGGCCCTCAGGGACATCCCGCTGCTGGACCACCGGGAGCGGCCCACGGGGGTGAGCCCCGGATCCCAGAGCACCCCAGGGTGACAGTGTCCCTGTGTCCCCATGTCCCCTTGTCCCCATGTCCCCTTGTCCCCATGTCCCTGTGTCCCTGTGTCCCTGTGTCCCCTTGTCCCCATGTCCCCGTGTCCCCGTGTCCCTGTGTCCCCGTGTCCCTGTGCCCCCATGTCCCCGTGTCCCTGTGTCTCCATGTCCCTGTGTCCCTGTCCCTGTGTCCCCATGTCCTGCTGTCCCTGTGTCCCCATGTCCCGCTGACCCTGTGTCCCCATGTCCCTGTGTCCCGATGTCCCCATGTCATCCCTGTCCTTATCCCTGTGTCCCTGTCCCCATGTCCCCTTGTCCCTGTGTCCCTGTGTCCTTATCCCTGTGTCCCTGTCCCCATGTCCCCATGTCCCCATGACCCTGTGTCCCCATGTCCCGCTGCCCCCATGTCCCCATGTCCCCTTGTCCCTGTGTCCCCGTGTCCCCATGTCCCCATGTCCCACTCAGTGTCCCCATGTCCCCGTGTCCTTATCCCCATGTCCCTGTCCCCATGTCCCCCTGTCCCCATGTCCCACTTGGTGTCCCTGTGTCCCCATGTCCCCGTGTCCCCATGTCCTTATCCCCATGTCCCTGTCCCCATGTCCCCATGTCCCATTCAGTGTCCCCATGTCCCCGTGTCCCCATGTTCCACTCAGTGTCCCCATGTCCCCATATCCCCATGTCCCCATGTCCCCATGTTCCACTCGGTGTCCCCGTGTCCCCATGTCCCACTTGGTGTGCCCATGTCCCCATATCCCCATGTCCCACTCAGTGTCCCCATGTCCCCGTGTCCTTATCCCCATGTCCCTGTCCCCATGTCCCACTTGGTGTCCCCATGTCCCCGTGTCCCCATGTCCTTATCCCCATGTCCCTGTCCCCATGTCCCCCTCAGTGTCCCCGTGTCCCCATGTCCCTTTCCAGCACACCGTCACCTTCCTCTGCTCCTTTGACGCTCACGGCTCCACCGGGGACATCGCCGTCACCCAGGGCCCGGTGTCACCGGTGCCACCCGCGGTGTCCCCCGCAGACAGGCGGGAGGATTTCCAGGTACGACACTCAGGGACACGGCGGTGACCGCGGCAATGTCCCCTGGCTGCCACCGCGTCCCTGTCACCCGGCAGGTCCGGGTGAGGGTCATCAAGGGCCACCAGCTGCGGGGCAAGGACATCAAACCCGTGGTGAGGGTCCGGATCGGGAAGCGGAACTTCCACACCCGCAGCCGGAGCGGGAACAACCCCTACTTCAACGAGGTGACACCGGGGAGGTGACACCGGGGAGGTGACACCGGGGACGGCCACCAGCCCTCGGTGGCCTCACCGATGGCACCGCGCTGGTTTTCAGGTGTTCTGTCAGAATTTCCGCCTGACGCCGGAGCAGCTGGTGGCACAAAACATCCACATCCAGGTGGGACACGGCGGGGGCAGCGGGGGACAGGGACAGGGACAGGGACAGGGACAGGGGGACAGGGACAGGGGGACAGGGACACACGGACACAGGGACACATGGACACATGGACACACGGACACACGGACACACGGACACACGGACACAGGGTCACACGGACACACGGACACACGGACACACGGACACAGGGACACAGGGACACACGGACACACGGACACAC